AATTACCCTTTTTTTTTAACCTAACATTAATGTCTAACAACAATAATGGACATTATTGACTTTATACTACTTATTCCCTTTCAATTCCCATGTATACCAAACATTGGAATTGAAATTTCCAGTAATTCTATTCATGTCAACCAAACACTGGAATTTAAATTCCCACTTTATTCCCAGTAATTCAACTCCCATGGAATTACAATTCCTTTCCCACATAATTCCCCCCTTCAACCAAACGCCTTGTTATATGTGTATTAATTCAATATTTAATGCATGGACAATGACCTTTTTATTTTTATTTTTTTTTCATTTTTTCTCTCTTATTTGATTCCATTATTCAAAAGTAGAGTAAAACGGGTAATGAGTTTTGTAATTATTAAAGGATTTGATTCCAATAATAGGATAACAAAAGTAAACAAATAAACATGTTAATATATATCAAAACGCATAGTAATATGATGCAAAAGTCCCCAATCAAATACCACCTTATTAGTCCGTCAATTAAGATTGTTTTGGTTTATGATTAAACTGAAAAAAAAAAAAAAGGGGGGGGGGGGGGGGGGGGGGAGGGGGAGGGGAGTAAAACCGCATGTCATCTCATTCAAACTTTATGAGTGTGGATGGACATGGACTACATTGTTGTTATATTGGATTTGTGAGCATACATCCATTAACGTGCAATCTAACTATCAACTTAGGCTTTTAGTTGAGATGGAACACATGTTTCAATTTGGTATTAGAGCCAGACCAAAAGCCATGGGTTCGAATCTTAGCGCCATTCATAAGCAACTACGGTTTACCGGTCTACGTGTTGCTTGGAACTCACCGCAAGGGGCGTGTGAGCATATAGCCATTAACGTCCAATCCAACTATCAACTTAGGCTTTTAGTTGAGATGGAGCACATGTTTCAATTGGATTGATATTTATTAGGCTGTGAAACTATGAGATCGAGGTTAAGACCTCATTGGATTTATTTTATTTTTTAGATATCGTTTGTATATTTTGGATTGGATAATTTGATTTATTGTATCTTGACTTATTTGTAGTGCTGATTTGATTACTGGGGGAGGCAGAAACATTGGAATATTGGATAGGAGTTGGAAGTTATAATACAAGTATACAACATCAAATGTATAATGACAACAACAACAACTACTTATGGCAGAAACATTGGATAGGAGTTGGAAGTTCTAATACAACACTAAATAATGTGTATAATAATGACAACAACAACTACTAATATATTCAAAGCCATTCAAAAGAGTATTATTGGTTGGATGGAAGGTGGTCCGATGCCTAGGGAACCCTTGAGGAGCATCATAGATAAGTGCAAAAAGTTGGTGCCCCTACGATGGAAAGTTAATTTCCAGCACGTCTTTCGCGAGCAAAACACGGTGACATATTTGCTTGTCAAAAGCGTGGTTAAACAAAATGTCTCGTGACAGGAAATTGGCAACCTTACAAAATGTTGGTTTACCAATATTGAAGTTTGGTTATGTATGACCCTATAATGGGAATACAGATTTTAAAAATACAAAAAAACAAAAATCAAGATAATTGATTCTAATATAATGACATCCAAATTAAAACACCAATAATCCAAACTTAAAAATCATATTACCAATTAGATGGAATGATACATTTTTTTAATTAAAGAATGAAGTTTTAATTAAAAGGTAATCAAATCTCATAACTGTATTTTAAAAAGTTATCAATCAAACATGCACTAAGTATGATTTTAATTCACATTTCTAATGTGTAAACATATGAATCAAACACACCCTTAATTTCGATCTACATATCCAACGCGTTTCTAGATCTACAGCTACTGAACATAAATGCATCCTTAAAATTCTTTTACAAGACTACTGTTTATCCATTTAAAGGTTCATGGAATTGAAGAATTTCCAAGAATGTTCAGAGAGATTAGATCTAGACCGGCTTCCAGTACGTCCACACCACAATCCAAAATTGTGATGCAAGACAACTTGACCTCAACCTACGTCAACCAAATTTAATAATCCATTCAAAGCCCGCCACAAACGCAGAAATTAAACCGATCCACAAAACACAAAACTTACCCCCATGCATCCATGCGCTACCAACAACGTAACGACAATTCAAGCACATTCACATGTACACAGTCATTTACACGGCACTTCAATTACAGTAATTTACACGTCACTTCAAAAATCGTCGTGTATATGTAAAAATAACCGCCTTCGTAGCTCTTTTCTGTAGTGGTGACATAATTTTTCTATATATTATTAGATCAGAGTTAATATCTTAGGGCCGGATAACTTAACAACCATGTGTTTTATCTCAACTAAAAATCTAATTAGGGGGTATTTGGTAACTAGCTATTAGCTAATTGGATTAGTGGGTTACTAGGTTTGACAAATTGATAACATTAGCTGATTGTAGAAAAGTGTTTGGTAATTTAGCTGTTGAACAAATTGCACTTTTGGTCCTGTGACTATTAGGGTGTTGATAATTTGAGTACGTGACTTTCAAAACTCTCAATTTAGTCCTTTAACTATGTTTTTTTTTAGTAGATTTGGTCCTCCCGGCCAAATCACCGGTGAAATTTCGCCGGAAAAACGTGATTGGGTTCAATTTGTTTTTTTTTAGGGTAAAATGGTCATTTCACTCTCATCTTCTTCCTTCTCCCCCTTCTTCTTCGTTCTTCTTCTTCTTCTTCGTCGACGTCGGCATGCCGTACATCATCCCACTCCGGCGTCGCTCGTGAACCTCTGGCGACTCATTTCAAGAGGACAAGGATTTGTTGGTGGCATTGTGGATGAATGTGCAGTAGGAGTCTCCAGTCAATTGACGTTTTTAAAAAAGGGGGAAATCATAATCGACTCCGAGAACCTCACAGGTAGCTCACTCCGGCGACTTAGTTCAAGAGGACGAGGATTTGCTGGTAGCGTTGAGGAAGAATGTGCAGAAGGAGTCTCCGGAGCCAAAGCAAGCCAAGGGAGGAAGAAGAGTCGAGCAAGGTGAAGAACTGCCGGAAACAGAGGGAGCTTATGGTGGCTGCTGCCGAGAGGCAAATGATGGCTGCTGCCGTGGCACCTGCGTGCACAGCGAAGGCGGAAAAGATGAGCGGCGGTCCTAGTGTTGGAGTGAATAAATGTGGATTTGATGAACCCCGAGAAGAAAAATGTGAGCTTGGAGAAAGAGTTGTCCATGGTAGAGGCTCAGCAGCTGTTCTTGATGATTCTCTTCCATGGCTTCCGGCTTAATTAAGGCTTTCAAATTCTATTCCTAAGTTTTCCGCCTGAAACCTGAGCCGTACTATCTGCAACGTGATTCCGGCGAAGAATAGGGGGGAGAAGGAAGAAGAAGAGAGTGAAATGACCATTTTACCCTTAAAAAAAAACAAATTGAACCCAATCACGTTTTTCCGGCGAAATTTCGCCGGGAGGACCAAATCTGCTAAAAAAAACATAGTTAAAGGACTAAATTGAGAGTTTTGAAAGTCACGTACTCAAATTATCAACACCCTAATAGTCACAGGACCAAAAGTGCAATTTGTTCTTTAGCTGTTAGATGATAGCTGATTAAATTCAAAATGACTTTATCAAAAAAGCTGATCGAAAATCTATTTTGAGTAGCTTTTCAAATTTTAGTATTTCAGAATAATAAGATGTTACAAAAAAACTAATTAATCAAACATTTATATTAATTGTTTAACCAAGTCAAACAGCTAATAGTAGTCAAATAAGTCAAAATTGACTAATAAGCTAACTATGTTTGTCCCGATGTCTCTCATGTGTGTGAGTCGATTATACTAAATTAAAGTATATGCTCAACCTCAACTAAAAGTCTATACTGATAATTAAAGTGTATATTTATGTTTATATATTATATTATTATATATGCTCAACATAACTTAATTATGTTGGTTTCACAATTGATTTGATAGCTATAGGTGAAAAGTAGAAGCGTGTATGCAAACTTAAGAATTACTAGCCGCAGTTGTGAACACACTGACACTGGAAATTTACTGAGGTTAGTATATGACTATATGTGTGTGTGTACACAATAAATATATTGTCAATAATGTTTCTTGGATTATCCTGAGGCTTGACTTAGAATGGGACAAGATTTGTTTGGGGAAAACCATAGAATAAAGATTCCATACATTTTAATACTGAGTTTCCAGGAAGCAACGTAACACGCACCACCCACGGATTATATATTTGTAAGAATTCCCCCTTGCAATCAACTCTTTTTGTTGAGTGGAGGAGAAAAACCTACAAACTATTCGAGGGTTTGTATTGAATAAATTTCACCTTCTAATTTTAATTGGTAAAAGATTATGACCATGTTTGGTAAAATAGTTAGTTTTATTATTTAATTTTGGCTTATTTGACCACTATTAATTGTTTGACTTGGTTAAAAAAAACAATATAAGTGTTTGGTTAATTAATTTTTTATAACTTCAAAATGCTAAAATTCAAAAGGCAGTTCAAAGTAACTTTGTAAATTAGCTTTTTGAAAAGAAAAAAAAAATTATACCAAACAACTATTAGCTAAAAGCTAATTTACCAAACACCTTTCTACAATCACTAATGTTATCTAGTTATACTCGATCTCTAATTAACACAATCATTGACTAACAACTTACAATCATTTATCAAACCGGGCCTATAAAATACTTTGTAACCTAGTTGTCCATAACCGACAGTCTAACAGACTCCCGTTAAAAAGGCCAATAGGTCGTTCCAGTCATGAGTCAAATTTGTAAATTATAATCTTGTAATTACGGAGTCAATAACATGACAAACTGGAGCTGCCCAAACTTTTTATTTCTAAGTGGTGGGGGAAGGGTACCATTCGCATTCCACATCTTTCTTCTTCTACATTTGAATGGTCAAAAATATGAAATGTCTTTAATTTCTTGGCTGAAAAGGAAGACAGACATGCATCATTGCATGCCAAGTCAAAATTGTTCTTTTCTGCTCCCTTGAACCCTATTTAGCTTCAAGAAACTAGCGCACAATATTTAATACGGTTTCATATTCTGTAGTGCTGTATTAGTTAGCTACCTGTTCCCACTCCCCACTCCCAAGAACCAAAATTAAACCATGAACCAAACATTCACATCTTCTCCTTTGTGGGATCATCAGATGCCCTACTATCCACAGACAACCTGCGGATCATTCGAAAACAACATTAATCCATACTACGATCCTTTCGATCCCACCGCACCTTATCATCAAACCTCGTTTTCTCCGAGCTTCACAACTGCTGCTGTTATTCCTGCGGCGACTGAGCAGACTACCATTCTGAGCCCGGAGATTTCTTCGTCGTGCACCGGAAACAGCGGCGAGAAAAGCGCGAAACCTAGTACGGCGGCGGCGGCGAGAAGGCGGTCGAGGGCCTCCAAGAAAGCCCCCACCACTCTCCTCAGCACTAGCATCGCCAACTTCCGCGCCGTCGTGCAACAGTACACTGGGTGCCGTCGTCTCGCGTCGCCGGCTTCGTTCAAGAACCGTAGGGGTCCGGTTATTTTAAGCTTTGGACGGCCTGCTGACCGGAAGCTGTCGGCGGAGGAGGATTCTGGCCGGAGATGTTACTCCGACGAGGATCGCTGTCAGAATCTGCAGGAACTTCATCATCATCAGTATCCTAATGCGGAGTTCCGACAAGGACAGGGTGGACAGCAACAACAGCGTGGGGTTTCATATGATAACAGTTCTCATGACAGTTATATTTCGGGTGTTGATAATGATCATAGTTGTAGTATGCTTACAGTGGATGATTTTGAATGGTAAGAGAAGTTTTTGCACAAATTTTAAGATGTCAAGTAAGAGGGGAAGAGGGTGGGGGAAAAGTAATTTTTTTTTTTAAAAAAAAAAAGAAAAAGAAAAGGAAAGAGCTATGTTAACGCACCCAGGTACGGTTGTTATAAGGTGGACCATGGTCTGAAACGGTACCGTTTCAAGTAAAGTTAAAAAAACGACAGTTGTTAAATTTTAACAAATTTCATATTTTTGGTGTATTTTGAACAAAATGAAACTAAATTACTTGTCTTGCATATTGTGCATGTTTATATTATCAAATAAAATTGTAACTGAATTGAAAATGATACTTTAGTTGTGTTGAAATGAAACTGAATAACATGCATGTCTCTCATATTGAGTGTATATTGTCAAATAAAATTGTACTTGAATTGAAATGATACTTTAGTTATGTTGAAATGAAACTATAGTATGTATAAAAAGAAACTGATGAATAACATGTCTCACATATTGAGTGTATATTATCAAATGAAACTGTAGTTATATCAAAATGATACTTTAGTTGTGTTGTAATGAAACTACAGTGTGTATAAAATGAATCTGAATAACAGTTTCACATATTTGAGTGTATATTGTCCAAGGAAACAGTAGTTGAATTATAATTATAATTTAGTGGTGTTGTAATATGATCAGACTACAGTGTGTATAAAATGAACTTCAATGACGGGACTCACTGTAATAAGACTATTGTATATATAATATCAAATAAAATTGTAGTTGAAACAGAATAAAACTTTAGTTGTGCTAAAATAAAACTACAATGTATATAAAATGAAAATGAATATATTATACAACAGAACTAATTACACGAAACAAATATCGTTTCTTTTCAAACATCATTTTAGATCATGGTCGACAATAAAATTTGTCATGGTAGGGCAAATTAGAGCTGGCCGGCCAACGGGCCTCAACACACTTTGAGACCCCTACTTTGACTAATGAAATAATAAACATTATTGTATTTATGATAAGTGACACTAACTTTGAGAGATCTAATATAGTAAAAAAAGACAATTTTTGAAAGACAGGGGTGTGCAGTGTGCTGTTTTCTAAGATTGTTAATTGTGCAAAAAAAATTGAACTTCATCAATTGATGATAAATATTTAAATGTTGTACCCTTCTCAAAAGAGTAATTAAATCTTAAATCTATGGAGTTAAAAAAAAAAAAAAAAAAAAAAAAAAAAAAAAAAAAAAACTCAGATGTTCTAATAATTACAGCAAAAATTTGAAAGTTTGTAATTTAATGAGATGATTAGTTGATTACAAATATTATTTCAAATAATAGTTAATAATTCAAAGATAGTAAAGTAAAACTTAAAGACGAGTTTGAATAAGGTAAATAAGTTACAGATTGAATTATGTCAATATCTTTTATATTTGTGAGTTCATTTACAATAATTTTTGGAGCGTTATGCTATGGACCCATGTCCACTATTGGGCATTGCATGGTGGACACGTTGTACATTCATAATTTTTATACTGTAGATTCATAAAATTTATAATGTAGATTCATAATTTTTATACTGCACATTCATAATTTTTGTACTGTAGATTCATAATTTATATATTGTAGATTCATAAAAGGGAAAATTGCATCTTTAGTCCCTGAGTTATAACCAAGTTCCGACTCAGTCCTTAAGTTATGACCGTTTCTGAGTTTAGTCCCTCAGTTATGAGCAAAGTGGCGAGTTTGGTCCCTAGCGTTAATATCTTGTCTACAGCTAACGGAAAACTTAAAAATAATTTAATAATAGAGGGGTAAAATAAGAATTTCAAATTATAATCATCTTTTTAGATTGAAACTTGTTCCACAACAGTTATTATTTTCTTCTTATACCTACAATTGAATGTCTTTTTCTTCCCCAAGCTATGAAATCTCCCACTTCCGTTAGATATAAGAAGAAAATAATGACGGTTGCGCAATGAGTTTCAACATAAGAAGGGGATTATAATTTGAAATTCCTATTTTAACCCTCTGTTATTAAATTGTTTTTAAGTTTTCCGTTAGCTGCAGACAGAATATTAACGCTAGGGACCAAACTCGCCACTTTGCTCATAACTGAGGGACTAAACTCGGATACTGTCATAACTTAAGGACTGAGTCGAAACTTAGTTATAACTCAGGGACTAAAGATGCAATTTTCCCTTCATAAAATTTATAATGTAGATTCATACAGTACAGAAATTATGAATGTGCAGTATAGAAATTATGAATCTACAATATAGATTTTATAAATCTACGATATAAAAATTATGAATTTACAGTTTATAAATTATGAATCTACAGTATAAAAATTATGAATCTACAGTATAGAAATTATGAATGTATAGCGTGTCCACCATGCACATGGTAGACACGGGTCGATAGCATAATTTGCCCTAATTTCTCACATTCGTTTTTAGCATAGGATTTTTTTAATTTTATTTTAATAATTTGGGCCAACACTTAAAAGAATGGGGCAAAATGCGTTTTAATTTTTTTTTTCCTTTTTTATTTTGCTGTAAAAAATACGGAGTATTAAAACGAAAAATAAAAAGAAAACCAATATAGAGGGACTACAGCCGCTTTGGGGGAAGAAATCGACGGAGAAGACGAAAATGAGAGGAGCTTCATCAATGCTACGCTGTTTAATCCGCCGGAGACCGTGTTTTGCTGCTCGCTCTTCTTCACTCGGCGAAACTCTGATAGTGTCCTCGGCGGCCACCGTGGCTCTCTCCGATATGCCCCAACCACTTTTCAATTCCACAATCGCCCCTACCGTATTTGTCAATTTACAATCGCCTCACGCCTTCAATCATTCCCGTAACTTTTCGTCTCCATCTTCCTCAGGTCTGTTCTGAAATGCTCAGAGTATTTTGGTGTTGTTAATTGGTGAATGCTCCCAATTGTTTCAATGAATTTTGGAAATTTTGTTGGTATGTAAAGTCTGTTTTAAAATGCTATAGCATTGAATCATTTGAATGTATATCTCTTGCTTTAGTACTTTACACATTTATGTCGGCCAGTTTGCTGTAACTTAGGTGGTAGTTTTCTAATTCCTATAACACCTGTTAATGACTTGGCTTTGGATGAATTCACAGTAATTGTTCTTAAATCTTCAGGGATTTAGTATGAAAACTGTAGTTGCGTATGCCAAGTTACTAGACACTAAATTGATAATGAACTGAGATATTTACAGGATGCCTCACACTATTTCATTGCTTGAGATTTTAGAAAGTAATATGTATGGCTTCTGAAGAAAAAAAAAAAAAAAAAAAAAAAAAAAAAAAAAAAAAAAAACTATTGAAGGAGAAGGATTGGGTATAATATGGTTAGAAAGCTATTGGAGACATTTTTTATGCACCCTAAGTAAATTTAATATTCTAATATATGGGAAATTCATGGTTGCCCTTGAGTTTCTTTTTTTGGTTGGGTACACATGAGATGAATCATGAATGTATGTTGAACTTAATATCTTTTATATAAAATTCCATTTCATATCTGTTTGTGACCATTCTGGGTGTATTGGTTAAAATGAAATAACACGATCTTGTCTCTTCTTACAGGTCCATCAAATATTGTTTCAATTGAGTCCGAAGAACAGTTTAATACTTCACTTCGCAAGGTTCAAGGTAAGTTATTGACTGCACAAGTTTGAAAGTTACCACAGCTTAAAAACAAGCTGGAAGTAATTCACTTGTTTTCTCATTGTGATTGGATACATATAGAGAACTCCATTTTCCCTGTTTCCCTTTGGATGGAGATCTTTATTATTATTTTTTTCTTTTTCTGCTTTATTCCAAGTTGCTTTAATCTACATACAGTTTAAGTTTTGTGCTTGTGTATAATGGATTTGAATCTCTGGCCAGATGAATCCTTGCCAGCAATATTCTACTTCACTGCTGTCTGGTGTGGGCCATGTAAGATAATTCTATTTACTTATGTTTTCTTTTGATGGTGGAAGGATTTGTGCTCGCACACACATACATTGTTTTAGACTTTGACTAGAATATCAATGAAGATGTATTTTCTTTCTAAGTTTTCCAGCAAGGGCAGGAAAATACCTTCTCTTTAATTATTATTGTTGCGTGTGCAGGTAGATTGTTATCTCCTATAATTGGGCAATTATCTGAGAAGTATCCTCATGTTACAACATATAAAGTTGACATTGATAAGGTAAGAGATAGCATATTACTCTTATGATTTCGTCTTTGTGGTGGTTTAGAGGCTATACTGTCACCTCTAAGAGCTCATTTTTCCCTGTCAATCATGCCTACTTGCTTAATGTTCTCTTTTCATTCTCCACTGTGGAGACCTTATGCAACAGTCTAACCGCATTCCTTGCTTGTATTGAGCCCATGTGTTTACTTTTTACCCTAACACACTATGTTGATGCAGTGTGCTACACGTTTTTATTATGCACTTTGATAATGTCTTTTGGATATAATTTAATGGCATTGGTATTCTGATTAATGTGCTAGCTAAATAAGAGGCATAGCTACCTTTTTCTGTTTTTGTGAATAAAAAGTTTGTGGAGTTGTACCAGTAGACTTTGAGTAGCTTTAAGATACATTAAATGAATCTGCCGGCTCAATGGATAAATACCTGGGTGTTAGAAAACTTTCCAATGTACATGATGCCTGCTTTTAGTATCAGAAATTGGAACCACAACACACTTGTGCTACATGTTTTACTTCCCCCAATGAGCAATCATCTCCAAAAAAAAAAGTGATCAGAAATATAATTGGTATACCAGATTGTATAGCATAGAAAGACTTCTTGTTGATAATTGAAACATCCAACTATAAAAGCTCCTATCTCCCATTTTATATTAAGATATTTGTCTGTTGTTACTAGTTGGCATCTAGAACTGGAACTTTGCATCAGATTCTGAGATGATAGCAGCCCTCATAGAATATTAGTGAGCCATTTTACTTTGTATTTGTAGTATTTGTGATTTTTTTTACCAGTATAATCACCTGCAAATATTTTCTTATTTTTTGGTGCTGTATTTTCAAATTTCAACCATTTGTGAATTGAATACATTTTTTGAATGTGCAGGAGGGGCTTGGAAGTGCATTGAGCAAATTAAACATTCATTCAGTGGTAAAACATCAATCCTTTTAGGAGTGAAGTTTATTAGGCAAATAATAATACTCCTTAATGAAATACAGTGCTGAAGTTCTCTTTAGTCTGCGTAGTTCTTTCTGTAACATCAAGATTATTTGTTTTGGAATAAAAAATTATTATTTGAAAGATATGGACATATGGTGGAAAGTTGAAACTATCTTCTAAAGGTGATGCATGTTTTAGGATAATGGCACAAAATCATTTGGAATAGCATTACAAGGTTCACTGTTAAGAGTCCCACATTGATAAACTAAGATAGAACATATGGGTTTATAAGGCCATGGGTTAGACTAGCTAATTGGTTGGATTCAATCTTTTAGTGTGGTTTGGCCCATGTGCATTATAGCCCAGTCTTAGTTTATAACATTCACAATGGCATAAATTTAAACAATGCATAACATATGTTGGGGAGAAGAGTTCTTTAGTTTTTACTGTCTACTGCTAGCTTGACTTCATATAGTTAAGGACTTATGGTACCTACTGTCCTCTTTTCATTTCCATATTCTTAATGTTTGTATCTAGGTGTTGGACATGAACTTTAGATATGAGATAATATCCAAAATAATCACACAACTATGTCATAATTTTGAAGATAGTCCTCGACTACCAATTGTCCAATTCACCTAAAATGGTCTCTCAACTATGAAAAATTTACTCAAATTTAGTTGGTGTAAATAACAAAAGACTAAAATGAGTAAAATTTTGCATAGCCGAAGGACCATTTTGAGTGAATTGATAGTTGAGGACCAATTTGAGAATTATGAAATAGTCAAGGGACCATTTTAGGCATTAACTCTTTAGATATTGTACAAGGAAGAAATTAAAATCTGACTATACCAATAGCAATACAACATTGCATCACCTCTTTGAGTTTAATTTTGCAAATATAATTTTGCATGTAAGATCACTATGTTGCAGCATAGATACTTCTAGCTTGTATTAATATGATGTTATGAATTTCATGATAACAATGGTGTTTTCTCAATGATTTAGCCGTTTATCACTTTATCGAGCACCAAGCTATGTTTTACTATAAACTTCTGCCAAGTTATACATTCTTCCAAGGCTCATTTTCTTTTACAATTGTTAACATCTCTCTGCAGCCCACATTGCACTTCTTTCAGAATGGGAAAAAAGCTTCTGAAGTTATTGGCGCTGATGTTCAAAAGTTGAAAGACACAATGGAGGCACTCTACAAATGATTAAGCACAGGAGGAGCAGTGCGAACTAGGCTTTCTAGAAAATTTATAGAATTATAGTCCGAGTGTTGTGTTATGCTTCAGTTTGAGTGCATTTTAATGAAACCCGATGTTTGTAAAGTGGGATCTTAGTTTTATATCCAATTTCCAGAGTGATTTGGATACTGTCACTCAGTATTTTTGTCCTTCATTATTTGACTATATAAATGTTGCTAATTTAACTGAGTTTGAGGGTTTTGTTTTCATGTCTCCCTTTGTTTTGGCTTCACTTGCTTGCAATGGTTGCAGGAGATGCATGGATGGGGGCCAGGTTTAACATCACAACAGACACCAGACAGCACAACTCATGCTAGCAGATGCATGAGTACTTTGGAATGAATTTCTATTGTGAGGGTTTTGGGGTTAATAGTTCCTTATTTGGTAAAAGTAATGTGATTTTCATTTTCTAGGTCATCTAGTTTAATATTAAATTTCTAAAATTGGACTTTTTACTCACTTTGTATGCTTGTTTGAATCTTTCTTTTTATCATTTTCTTAAACAATTGCATCTCAATCTCAAGCGTCCTCACCTATTATTGTTTTGAAATCGAGATAAGTTATGTGATATGCTTCAATAAGACAATAACTAGCTAGTGTTCAAGATAGAGTTAATTATATACAGTTTCTTTTTATAATAATCAAATTACACTTAATTACTAGTAAAGTAGTGGAGGTATTGATTCTTTATGCTTCAATAAATTAGAGAGTATATGGACAGATGCTGCATTGTAACAAAATTAGTAGTATTCAAGAAAATTCAAAACTTGATTTTTTGATACCGTTATATCACCGGAGAAAAAGTAAGGATACCCTCCAATAGACTTACAAGAAATAGGGGGTCACAGGCAGGGTCAATGACTGAGGATTGGGGAAGGGAACATAAGCAAATGGTCAAATGGATTGGGACAATAATGGGGTCTGAGTCCTTCTGATGTTTTAGCTCTTTGAGGAGAGTTGCAGAGGGTCTGCAACACAGGATGTCCACCTATTTTCATACAATGTTGCAATATAAGATAAACACTACATCTATATCTATCAGAAAATACTACATGCATTCTCATTTCTTATTCTTAACTTTTACTCCCTCTCATAAATTCTTGATGTAGACATATTTTCTGAGACCCACTTAATAAAAATAGTCAATCTTTATTTGCCATGTCATGAAGTAAAAGTGAAGAAGTAAAATTTAAGAGTACATGTAGTAGGACTCATATCTACCATATCAGCTAAAAACAAAGCATCTGTGGACCTACTCTTGTGTTGCTATCTTTCATCTGCCATCATTACCACCACTCTATTTAACTCAGAGATAAACCCATTTTTCAAATATCTTGTTTGAATTCAAATTCTTTCCTCCTAACTCACATCATTGGTCAGGGATGAATCTTTTACTGTGTAAGGGATGATTATTAACAGAACTTTACTCTATAGAAGCAAATCTAGTTATGATTTCATTTGCCCCTAAAACAGTGATTTAGTGATTGAACAGTTGTACTTGAAACTCTTGTTCAACGACATGATAGATTTGAACTCCATCATAGACAACCTGGAAATTAGCTTCAATGTCATCAGTATCTTTTTCTAACCATCTTAACTAGAGCTCCTCGATTTTGTAGCTTCAATTTACATTTAAAAGAAATGACTTATATAACGTATTTGTAACATAATTTTAAGTTTTTATGAATCCATTCACTAGTATTACTGTGGTTGTCCTAAACAACTAACTGAAGTTTATATATACTAATAAGTGTGAATTAGAAGTACATTGATTATCTGCAAAGTTAAAGTCCAAAGTAATTAGATTACATGAAGATGGTGCACCTTGAGATGACTAAAAAGTCAAACATAAAGGCCCTAATTGCACATGAATAAAGCAGTAGAGACTGAGAGATATGACGAGGAGAGGAAAATGCCTTTCCAAATTGCCAGCTGCAGTTTTGAAAAAGCCTGCCTGCTATCTGGATTGGTGACAAAGATTGATGATACAACACACTTCTCTCTCTCTCTCTCAATTTTTATAATCTTGTTTATAAGAAAATCCTAAAATTGTAATCTCTTAAATATACCATCAAAAGAAAATGAAAAAAAACCCTAATAAATTTTGTCAAGACGATCTGTTTTATAACCATAAGATTTCAAGCTTAACTCATGTAGGAATTGTCTATTAATCAAGAAGATTTTAGCCGATCAACTATGAACAACTGAAATTAATTTACTCCTTGTAGTCCTTCGCTGGCTAGTGTTATAAGGCAAGGTTTACCCAGTGCACATTTTTGTATAGTAGCTAAAACCCTAACCAAAGTTAATTAGACAGTTTATTGGTCTTCTTGGTTTTAGCCGGTCAACTATGAACAACTTAAACTGGTTTAATTTACTTTTTTGTAGTCCTTCGTTGGCAAGTGTTACAAGGCAAGGTTTAGTCCGTGCACATTTTCGTATAGTGGCTAAAACCGTAACTAAGTTAAATTGGTTGGGCAGTTGATTTGGTAACTACAAGGTTCAAACTTCAAAGTTCAACTCTTTATTAGAAGCTGCGTTGAGCTTCTTGACTTGAAGCTGTCAGCTATGTGTAACCTATGCTAATTTAGATCATTGTGATTCTTTACCCACTCTTGATTGAGTCGAACAGCTATAATAACCTAAATTAGTTTATTTTTTTGTGGTTTTTTTTTTTACGCAAGTTAATTTAGTAGAGTGATGAGATAATGGAATGAGGTGGAAAGGGACATGTCCAGGGGGGAGCCCTACCCTTTATGGTCCCAATTGCAATGGCAGAATCTGCTGCAAGGTTTGCAGGTAAAATAGAGATGTGGCTTTAATGCTGTTCTATCAAACATTTCAATCATTGGGAACTTGAACAACCACACTTTGGTTGCTTCAATTTTACCAACTCCCTTCACACTACTCCCCTAACTCCCAACACCTTTCTATTGTGTCCCCAATACTTGCATCATTTCCTCTGCTAAATCAAAGTTCTTCCCACTACTCTTTTCACATTCACATAGGGAGTTGATGTCAAAGAATCCAAGTTTAAAAGCACCATTTGATTTCAAAAATCAAAGCTCAAATTTAACCAAAACAATGATTTTTTGTGTTTGAGTTTCACTTTACTCAAACACGAGTTATTTCAATTCAAATGAACATGTTTACTTGTTTAGTCAAGAATTTTTATTTTTATTTTTTGTACACAAAAATTTTGTTAATATAAACTTTTTTTTTAACCAAAGATAATAACAAAGCTCAATATTATGTATCAATTCTGACCATATTATAAATTTATATATATACTCGAGTTTGAATACGACTTGATAATAATAAAATTAAATTCAGGCATTTACCAAATTCAACTCGAATAGCTCACAAATAAATTGACTCGCTTACACCCTTTGAGTTCTACACAATTTGATCTTGAAGAAGAAATGAAAAAAAAAAAATACTATGCACTTTTTTAAAAATTAATCCATCCATGCTACTTTAACTAGAGGTTAACAAAAAAAAAAAAAAAGTGATTATAAGAGAGAGAGAAAATATTATTGATCTCACATAAATTAAAGTATTACATCTACATTATTTGAGAGGGATAAAATATAAATATAAATTTGGTCGAACATAATAAAAGTACAACGACTAAATTAAACAAAACGCTACGATACAGAGACTTAGTAGGTACTTTGTCCGATATATTTGATAAAGAGTTAATACCCAAAATCGTCCTCGACTATAGTGGTTTTTCTCAATTTCGTCCTAAACGACTTTGGTGACCTAATATCGTCCCAGACTTTTGTGTTTCGCTCAATTTAGTCCTCCATTTGTTATTCCGTCAAATTGGTGTTAAATAAAGGGACAATTCAGTAATGTCAATATTGATCTCTCTTTACTTTCAACTTGTGAAGTGCGAAATTCTTCTTTCTTGTACGAATTACACCCAGAATTACTCCCGGGCCTGCAAATCAAATTTTATATTCGCAGTTTTTGGAGTAATTCTGAGAGTAATTCGTAAAAAAAAAAATGATTTTGCAGTTCACTTGTCTATGAGTAAAGAGATGCCAATATTAAAATGACTGAATTGTCTATTTATTTAACACCAAATGGACAGAATAACAAATGAGGGACTAAATTGAGCAAAAACACAAAAGTCTGGGACTAAATTGAGCGAAACACAAAAGTCTGGGACGATATTAGGTCACCAAAGTCGTTTAGGACGAAATTGAGAAAAACCACTATAGTCAGGGATGATTTTGGGTATTAACTCATTTGATAAAACTAATAGTGGCTAATTTTTAGTTGTATTAATTTATAAAATGACATGTGATGATGCGAAAGTAATTAAACATTTTATTGTCATTAGCATTTCTAATAACTATTTTAAAATCTATATTTTATTTTATAAAAATAAATTTAATTAAAATAAAGATGACAAAAACTTGTGTGAGACCGTCTCACGAATCTTAATATGTGAGACGGGTCGAATATTTGATTAATGAGGTCAAATATTCGACTCATTGAACAAATATTTAACTCATTAATTAAAAAATTGATCCGTCTCACAGATTGAGACCAGTGAGACATCTCACACTAGTGCTACCCAATAAAGATATCTATGTTTAATAACTTTTATCTGAATTGGAATATGGAGTTTTTTTTTAGGACACTAGGTTAAATAAATAAATAAAATTTATTATTTCAATACTATAGCTATAATTAAGAAATTGATATTTGGAAAAATTAGATTTTTGTCTCAATCAACTAATTAAAAATAAAATATATTTTCTTAGGCATGGATCTTTTTATGATACTATGAAACTTCTAGTTACACTTCATGTATGATTGATCAAATTTAGTTTTTGACATGAAGTACTAACTAGCTAGCTAGACTTTATATGACTCAATAATAATTCACCACCACTACTGGAAATTATGGAATTTCCGACCACCTGAAAGTGATCTTAAATCGAAAGTCTTGTTCCGAACACTTTTGGTATCCGGAAAAACCTTTGCTGCTATTTCCGACCACTTTTTGGACTTTTTGGTATCAACTTAGTTTAAGATCATTTTCAGGTGGTCGGAAATTTCATAATTTCCAGTAGTGCACATTGATAAACTTAATCTTGATATAAAGACTAAAATATTATTGTACAATTGTATAATAATAATAATAATAATTGAGGGCAAATTTGTTAATACACAATTTTTCCTTTTTTTATGAGGTTTGGAATTGCATGGGAGTTTCAATTCCATGGTTGGAGAGAATTGCAATTCCTCCAACAAACTAATGAAATTTTGGTTGTTATAAAATTGCAAAGGAATATAATGAAATTACAATTTATGTGTACCAAACGCTCCATTAGAGATTCTTCTTCTTTTAGATGGTATTAGCGAAGCAACTTGTAAAGGGTCAGGATGTAATGAGTGCCCTTTTTGTAGGGTTCTTTTGTCGCACAACAACAACAATGAAGGTAGAAGTAGTGAAAGACTCTTAAGTGTGGGATTCAATTTTATAATACGTTACATCAATTTTAAAGTTAAAAATTCTTTAAAGAATTAATTCTAGGAATGGTCATTGACTATTATTGTCTTTTACCAATTTTTATCCTTCGACTTTCAATTGGACCATAAATGGTCCATTGACTATTAATCTTTATATATTTTCGTCATCGACTTTCAATTTAACCATAAATGGTCTCTTGACTATTGATTTTGTTCCAAATTTGGTCATCTAGTTAAACATCATTTTAGGATAATAATGTTAAAAAAATTAGTTCTTCATAATGGTGAACTCGATGTATTAAATTTATGAACTCAATTTGTCCATCTAAACAACAAACTAATTTTTACATTATTATTCTAAAATTTAATGTTTATTAAATGGATATTTAACTGAAAGATCAAATTTGGAACAAAATCGATAGTCAACAGACCATTTATAGTCAAATTGAAAGTCGAGTACGAAAATTAATAAATATCAATAGTCAATGAACTATTCTATAGTCCAATTGAAAGTTGAATAATAAAAATTGATAAATGACAATAGTCGAGAGATCATTCCTAAAATTAATTAATTTTTACAAAAAAAAAAAAAAAGACCATAGTCTATCTAAAAATTGGACCCCCTACCCCAGCACTCTCGACCTCTAGGACACACACACCCCACATATTGTCAACATAGAAGTGAAAAACTGTTTCGAGTTAACGTTGTTGTACCAAGTAAGGTCCCATTGCATATGAATTGTAGAACCTTCTTCAGATTTTTATTGATCTCTAATAATAATAATCTTTCATTTCAACATTTCCTCTTTTTTTTTTTTTTTTTTTTTTTTTTTTTTTTTTTTTTTTTTTTTCTCTTGTTCATTATTTTGTACAGAGGAGCAGCAACATGTCATGTGAATGCATAGGATTTGTTCATTTGAATTGTTCTTCCAATTCATGCTTTCAAATCAGCAGCTTATTACTACTATACCCATTTATTTTATTTATTTACTTTATAAATTGAAGGATATTTACATTTACTTTTTTTGGGGGGTAATTTATAAGATGTTAAGTTGTTAACTGAATTGTGTTTGAGGGCGATTTGAATTATTAGATCATAAGAGAATAAATATACTGATTATTTGGCCATTATAGACATATGTATATGTATATGTGAGAGACTATCTCTAACTCAAAATACCAAATTTTACATTAAAAGAAATATTTTCAGCATGTTCTAACACTAATTTTTTTTTTTTTCATCTCCAACCCATTTACACCAAATTTTATTTCATCTCCAATCAATTTACACAAAATTCTATTCATACACTAAAATAATTTGTATTTTTATGATTTAAAAATTCAATTTTGTTTACTTTAATTATTTTAATATAAATAAAATTTTAAAATGGAATTTATATTTTTAGGTATTTTAATTATTAATTATTTTATAGTCGATATTGATCTCATTTTAAACATCTCAATGTGATCTTTAAATCTTTATAATTCATTTCTAATAATATAAAATTTTAAAAGAAAACAATTAGCAAAAAGATTTTAAAAAGTTCTATACCAAAATGATGTAAATGAATAGTGTTACACCATATTTGATGTAACACTATTCATTTACACCATTTTGGTGTAAAATTTGGTGTCTTCCTTGGAGGAAGGTTGCACCAAATTTTTACACCAAAATGGTGTTTTGGTGCCTTCTTTGGAGATGGCCTGACAATATAATTTTTTTTAATGATGTGTTGGATAGCATTATGCATTAATTGACATTAAATATATGCTTCAAAAGCGGAGTCTTTTAAGGGTGATTTTTTTTTTTTTTGAAACCAAAACCTTAATTCATTAAATCATCATCAATACAAATATACAATCAACAAGGAAAATGGGAGGAGTATCAAACCACTCCCCGTAACCTGACACATAAAAGGTCTCTCGGACAACAATATGAGCGACACGATTCGCAAATGCCTAATAAAACAGAATTCGACATCACCAATCATGGATGTCAATTCTTTAATGTCATCCATAAGTAAACCAAAAACAAAAATAAAAGAAGTTTTAATTTGGGTTGTCTTTCTTTATATGTAACTTTATAAGTTTGGTAAGTAATTTTGAATTTTGATGTATAAAAATACATTTAATTCTCTATAAATTTTACGACTACAATTTTTTAATCTATTGTGGATTGATGATTACTAATCACCAAACACCATACTCTTACAATTTTATAGAACCACTGCTTGCTTCCACTTCTACTCCCAACCTTGACTTAGAGGTGGGTGGTTAATTTATATTATTAAATTTGAAAAATAAATCAACTCTTTAATATTGGGTTTTAAATTGATGGTCAAATCAAATGTTGACATAAAAAGTTGTCAACTTGTTCACTATTAAACTTTTATGATAACTATAATGTAAAGTAGAGTTATTTATAGTATTATAATGTTATATACTTTAAATTGTTCCTCCTGATTGATTTTTTTAGTATTTAGTTATAAGTAAATGTAGCCAATTTATATACAATAAATATAAGTTACATATGAAAAGAAATTTAGCAGGGAAAAATTAATAATAATAACAATATTATTATTATTATTGTTATTATTTATTGAAAGAAAGAAAATGTGTGAATAAACATGGAAACGTGAGAGCAGAGGTGAGTACAGATTGGTTGGCCGCACTTGGCGGCTTAGAGCTCCTAGTAATATAGGGCGCAGGTAAGTTAACATGTGCCCTCAATCAGACGGTCAGAAACGCTCTCCACTTGTCCCATCATTCCACTCAGCTCGTACAACAAGGTGCCATTTTGATCACAATGCTGTGGACCAAAAAGGCGTTGACACGTGGCTTCTATCCAAGACTCCAAAGACCAATTTGCACCCATTCAACCACCTCCTCTTGTCACTTAACTGTTCCTCCCTCAGAGATCACTCATCACCAATCCTTTTTCTTTTCTTTTTTTCGAAAAAAAATACATTTTTTTAATACTATTGAATATATTACAATGTAATATCTGTTCTATACTTTTGCTATCTATTACAGTTTAAAGAGTCAATTTTTTACCACCGAAATTTGATACTATAACCTTCCTTCAAAGAGAGTTACAGAAGTACCATCTGAAACAAATAATGAAAAATGAAAAATAAAAAAAATTAAGTAAATGCTGCCCTAACTTCATCTTAAGCATTTTGGGATTGTTTCCTAAATACTCTGTATTAAAAATGTATTTTTTTTGAAATATATATATATATATATATATATATATATATATATATATATATATATATATATATATATATATATAACCATACACTTGTATTTTCTTTTCATACATTTATATCTTGCGTTTCTACATTTCTCGTTTTTCTATTTTTTATTTTCATTATTACTTATTTTTTGTGCCATAGTTGAAGTTAAGCAAATTATACTAACCTTGTCACATTCAACTTTTTGAGACATTCATCATTCTTTAACTTTTTAAATTAGCTTTCCAACAATATATGGTACTCTTTTTCCCCTCCAAAGACAATCCTTTTGTTAGTAATATATTTCAGAAATTTTATCCGCGTGAGTAGCTCAACGGGTCACAGAGGTGAAATTTTGAAAGAATGACCAGGGATCGAGTCTCACCAGTGAGCACGGTCTAGCCTCTGTGGTTCATGTTCAGTTGAGTTACCATGTTTAACATTAACTAACAATGTTCTTATTAAAAAAAAAAATTTTAAAAAAAGGAAAAAAAAAACGTTATGGTTTGAAATATTACAAGAATGACAATATGGACTTAACTCTCAAGTGCAGCTATGATGACAACATGGTGATCTGACAATCTAACTTTAAAAAGAAGAAAAAAAATAAATTGGTTGATCCATTCAACAAGGGAGTAATAACTTCCCA